TAGAAAACCCATGATTTCTGTTCTTTCTCATAAGTTTCATATAAATCAAAGGCTATCTCTTATCAGTTTTTTATTTCATCATATATTATCATCACTTTGGTATGATTAGAAACCAAAATAATTAAAACAATTAATTGTGATTTGCAATATAAAAAAAAAAGAATCTGACAAACCCAAGCATTTCAGTGACTATACAAATATGACCATAATACATAAAATAATCTAACATTTTTAATATTCTACTATGTGGAGAATTATCATAATAATCATTTAACTATATGATGAATATCTTTCTTTCTATAATTTTCAAATTTTAACTTTGTATAATTAAAAATAGAGATAAATACTTACAAACGAAATGTAGAACTGTCACTTCAATCAACGACTGTTTAAAATATGCTGGTTTGTTTTTTAAAACTTTAATGGCTACATACTTGTTTGTACTTAAATCAATGCATTTAACAACTTGACCAAATGTTCCTTGACCAAGTAATTGGACAACTCTATATCGTGTTAATGTTTTTTGATCCATAGAAAACTGAATTCCTTCCATTGAAGTTGCTGACCCAATAATATCATCTATCCTAATAATCAAATCCCCTGTTTCATTATCAAGACCATAATTACTCATTGGTATACTTGGTTGTGTCAATATTTGATTATTTGTTTTATGACAATGTTGCATAGTGTTTGAATATCCAATGGTCATTTTTTTAATAACCCCTTCAACACGAGCCATTGGTGCACATGGGGTGATGGTAATAGAAACAAATAAGCTACTCATTAACTTCTTTAGATGAATAAATTCAATTTTTGTTCATTTATTAGAGAATATTAAAAAGAAATTATTTTTTTACTATTTCATGAAATCTTCAACCTGAAAATGAATCATTTTTAATTATTTATTGGAGAATGTTCCTACATGAGGAGATACTGGAGAAATCTAAATCCTTTTCATATTAACTATGAAGAAACAATACTTTTATTTCACCAGAGTATGAGAGTTGGTTTTATTTTTTCCTTTCAAAATATAATCATAAACTAAGGGATGATTTGTTAAATCATTAAAGAGAAAGTATTTTTTTCATCATCATATCAAAATCCATTATCATAAAAAAAATTCGAAAACTGTTATTAAGAAAAACAAAATGTTGGAATTACAGAAAAACTAAAAAAAAAAGAGATTAGATAAAATTAGAGAATTACAGATAGAAAACCATGATTTCTTCCAATCACAAAATCACAAAACAATTAGGATTACTCTTCAATAGAAGAAAAGAGAAAGACCCTACTTTATGTGAATGTATGAATTTATCATATGATAATAAAAATATGAAATGGCACGATGAAAATAAAGAATATTGTGTTTCAATTTTTAATGGACATTTTATTTTTTATGATAAAAACAATAAAGGGGTAGTGGATTTTGTTATTCCTATTATCTCATCAATTCACTCAACAGAAGAAAATAATACAGTAATATTAACAGGAGTATATGGAGTTCCAGTGTTATGTCTTGTTTGTATTTTAGTTATTATTTAATTAGATAAAAAGAAACAATAAAATAGTAATTATGATAGATTAATAAGAATAAATTCTTCCTTAGAATTGCAACACGAATATTAGTAAAACAATGTAATATCTCATTTCAATCTTTAATTGAAACAAATCAATTAAAATCAAACTCAAATGTATTACAAATAACATACCTACCATTATTTGGAAATTCTATTCAAATAGTAATGTTAGCTCATTTTTATGATTCAAAAAGACTACAAGTTCCTGATTTTGTTTATAAATCAATTAAATATTTAGCAATGATCACAGAAACAGAAGGACTATTTAGATTATCAGGTGATTCATCTGAAATGGAAGAATTAAAAGAATTAATAAATAAAGGAGAAGAAATTATCTTTCCAAGATATTCAATTCATTCAATTTCTAATTTACTAAAATACTTCTTTAGATCACTGCCACATGGGCTAATACCTCAAATAAATATGTATAAAATGGTTGAAAGAATACAAAACACATCTCGTAGTGAAACAATTCAAATTTTAAAAGAAGAAATTCAGTGTCTTTCTCGTCCTGTGTTTACTATTTTATCAGTTTGTTTTAAACAATATATCCTTTGTCATTTCAAATATTAATTAGTTTAGTTGTTAAATGGATTAATGATGAAAATTCTTGAACTTTCTCAAATTAACAAAATGACAGAAAAAAATTTATTAATTTGCTTCTCTCCTTCTTTAAAAATAAATGGGGTACTTCTCCACTATTTATTGTTTTGTTCTGAATTATATCAATAATTATTTTTTGTTTTATTATTGTGTCTTTTCATTAGAATTTTATTTTTATATAATCTTCTTTTCTTTTAAAAAAAATAAAAAATGAAATAGGAAAAGATTTTTTCAAATAAATAATAAATAATAATAAAATATATTATATTTTATTAATCTATTCAAAAAGAAATAAAAATAGTTCAATTTTAACGTCGAGATAAACTTAAAAAAAAGGAAGAAATCTCAATAACAAAATAAAGATGTCAACTTGTCCTGTATGTGGTAAAAAGGCTTATCAAATGGAAGCCATTAAAATAGAAGGTATTACTATGCATAAGAATTGTTTTAGATGTAGTGTCTGTAAGAAAATTTTAAATGGTGCTAATTTTGCAAAGAATCATGGAGTTTATTATTGTAAAGTTCATTTCCAACAAATGTTTAGAGAAAAAGGTAATTATGATGAAGGTTTTGGTTATAGTAAACATAGTGCTGATTGGGAAAAGAAAGATGAAGAACACCACGTTGAACAAAATCATGTTGAAAAGAAAATCGAAAAACCAAAACCAGTTGAAGAAAAGAAACCAGTTGAAGAAAAGAAACCAGTTGAAGAAAAGAAACCAGTTGAAGAAAAGAAACCAGTTGAAGAAATAAAACCAGTTGAAGAAATAAAACCAGTTGAAGAAATAAAACTAGTTGAAGAAAAGAAAGAAACTACTTTTTCACCTGAAATTAAGAATCAAATTGATAATATTTTAAAGGTTCTTGACAAAATGGAAGGAACTGTTTCAAAGTTAGAGAGTTGTGGAATTAGTTCAAATGAGCCAATTAAAAATGAACAAGTTGATAATGTTTTTGCACGTCTTGAAGCTGTCATTACCAAATTAGAGAAGAAATGAAAGAATAAAATAATTTTTTTCTCTTTTCAATTTCAAAGTTTTTATAAATTAAAGAAAATATTATCAATAAACCAATAATTGAATTAATCAGCTAAAATAGCATGTTCTGTTCTAGAATCATTTGCAGGTCTTTCTTCAGTACCTACATGAGAACCAAGTTGTTGATTAAGTTCAATTGGTTGACTTCCATCTTCATCAATACTTTTATTAACAACTTTACCATAGTCATCAAATTTAAGGTCTTCATATAGTTTAGCGTTTTGTTTTCTTTCTTCAACTCTTTGTTTACGATAACGAATATAGAAATATCCAACTGCAATAGAATGTAAGAAAGTAATAACGCCAACAATTACCTGATATACTCCAAATACAATATAATGTTGGAAATGGCATGTAATTCCTGTTGGTTGTATTTGACTTAATGAAAAATCAACTTGATTTAACAAGTCATTTTTACAAAAATTATTTGAACTAATTGCTAAACAAATTTCTACAATACCAATAATTGCCATTCCAATTGATGCAATACCATATCCAATATCAAAAATTAATCCTTTTCTTTGAACAAGTATTAAACCAAAAACATATGATCCTATTGAAAGAGTTGTAACAAGAAAGATTATCGCAAGGTGTGCAATAACTTGGAAAAATAATGGATACATACAAACAAAACTATATTCTCCTTGTTCTGTTTTATATGTAAAATCAAGTGGAGTATTTGAATCAAATGGTTCAGCAGAACAAGTGGCATTTATTGGTCCTGTAGTTAAATTCATCTAAAATTGATTACTATGAAGAAATAAAAAAAGAAGGAGTAAAAAAAGTAACAAACATAAAGTCCTTTATCTCTATCTGTTTCTCCAAAGAATACAAATTGATAAACAAATGCAATAAGAGAAATTAGAAAACAGAATATTGAGATAATTGTCATAACTTGGAATGAAAATTTATGAACACCATGGTTCTTGAAATAATCAAGGAATTTAGGCATAATGACACAATAAGAATAATTTTATTAGTTTATTTGTTTGAAAGAGTTATTTTTGTAAAAGTGAAGTTGAGTTTTAATAATAAAGAAGTAATATTTTATAATTTCATTATAGTATTTTACTTTTTTCTTTAAGTGATTTTCAAGTACATTTTATGAGTTAAAATTGGTCATAAATTTTAGTAAAAAAATTTTGATTAAAGAAAGTCATCAATATCTCCTAAATCTTCTATATCAATTATTTGTTTAAGTTGATACTCTTTATCTAATAAGGTTGACATTGAATACTGACTTGTTCTACTCATCAATGAGAAAATACTCTGATTTTCTATTTGTGAAGTTTCATTTAAATGAGATATTTTTTCTCCTTCAAATAACCATACGGTTTTTGTCAAATAAAATACATTTAATGATTGTACAACATTAACGTTGATTGCATCTGCAATAATAGCAATATCAAATGGCATAGTTTGAGTTATTTTCTTGGAAGATTCACGAAATGACCCAAGAACTATTGGATGTTCATTAATAATAGTTTCTATAACTGGGTTTATATGAAGTAAATCATCTATAGCAGAGAGTTTTAGTGTTTTTTCTTTAGGTAAAACATCATATAATTTATTTAATAATATTTGATTTGAAGCAGTAACAAATACTCTTTGTTGTGTTTTTGAACAGAATGTTGCAATTGTTGAAAGAATCATATTTGAACATAACCCAGTGATTGGTGTAATTTCTTGTGAAGAAGAAAGAGAATTTAATAAGAAATCATCTTTTTCACTTATTTGTTTTTGAATTAAAGTTTGTTCTGAAATATTTAATTTATCAAGAATCCAATCAAGGTCATCACCATCTTCTTCTTCATTATGAATATCATCAATATTTTGAGTTTGACTTAAATCCAAATTAAAATTAATTACAGGACATGGCTTAGAATTAATAACAAAATCTCTAATTCGTTTCATATCATTATCATTTCTCATTAATTTACCAACTGTTGTCATAATAACTTGTAATGCATTAGTTCCAGAAAATTTATCTAATCTAAATAAGGATAAAGTAGAAATAATTCTTTGAGGAGTTTTTATTTTAACTCTTTTCAATAGAACTTCTTGAAGTTGCTCAATTCCTTGTTCTTCAGAAATTATACTTTGATTCGTTTTCTGTTGATCACAATCTATGATTTTTTCTTTAGTAATAATATCATCATCTTCAAATGGTAACATATATCCTTTAATAATATTTATTTTTCCATCTTCTGTTGAAACACAAATAAGTGACTCATCATAAACACACTCTCCTTCAAATGTATAAATATAATAATCAGGAAATTTCATTGTATACTCACTCTTTATTAATTTCATTCTTCTTCCAATTGATTTAACTTCATTTGGAAATAACCACCTCTTTTGATTTTCTGTTTCAATATGTTTCATTTCTAAACGAACATCATTTAAATATTTAAAGTAAAATGCTTTTTCTAATGAATTAAGATGTTGAATAACACTTTTGTTATAATTTATTCCATCATTTTCACAAATTAAACTACAATGTTCTGTTACTTGACAATATTTACATGAAACCTCTTTTCTTATACATTCTTCTTCGTTTGGTATTGTCATATTCTTTGAATATAATGCAAGTGAATTTCTTAATTGAGTAATAGCAACTAATTGTGGTATTGTAGGAACGACTTGAACAAAGTCATTGTTTTGACGATGAACATAATTTAGTAATCCTCTAAATTGGTGGTGGGGTTTTTGAAGGAAACCACTAAGAAGAAGAAAATAATAAGCAATTTGTCCGAAGTTCTCTTCTTTTTGTTTTCCTGTTTTCATTTCAACAATAATTTCACCTTCTGAACCATTCAATAAAATATCAATCGCACCTTTAAAACCAAAAATTTGAGATTGTATCTGAGGTTCAGAAGCAATAAATTCTGTAAAGTGGATTTCACGATTAAGATTTGTTTTGATAGTTTTTGTTTTCCAACATTGATACCAATCATTAACTGTATCATAAAATTCCATTGCATGGTCAATAAATTCTTTTCTTGTAATTCCTAATACATAAATTTTTGTTAATACTTCTTCACTTAATTCTTCTATCATTGATTTAAATATTATTTTATTAAATTCAGGTGGGTTGGTAATGAGAATATGTTGAATTGTTCCATGGATTATTGTTCCTAAAGTTGTTGCTTCATAATAATCATCAAGAAAAAGATAATTTTTAATAACAGTTTGTCTGTTACACCAAGTACTACTTACAGTACTAGTAGTATTAATTAAATAATCAGGATTTTGAATAAGAAGTATAGGCGTTCTATTATTAAGAATAAAAGGGTTTGGAAGAGAATTTTTTGTTCGTTCTTCCAAAAAAATGAGATGAATAAAATCACCAACTTTAAGTGAAGTATCATACCATAAGTCATCCAAATATAATATAAATTGTTTTTTTTCTTGTTGCTCTTCAACTTTATATCTTTTAAGTTTTTTTTCATCATCTAATAAAGCAACAACTTCACAACGAATATAAAGGTTCCAAGTCTTTTGAGATACTTTTTTCCTAACAAGCATTACTTCTTTTTTTTTTTTATTAAAATATTTTTTTATTTTATTTTTTTTAAGAAAAATAATAAAAATAATCAACAGATAGTTTAATTATTCGTTACAGAAAAATCTATAAAATAAAACTATCATGTTTGTTTGGTTATTAAACCTCTTCATTATTTCATCGTTTTCTTTAATTATTCAGAGAAAACAAGACTGTCCAAATAAAATTAATGAACTTACAAGGTTTCAGTTTGGTACAAATGGTAGTTTATCTTTTAATTTACATAAAAGCAGAAGGAAAGAATTAATTCAAACAACAATTACAATATGTCAAATTCCTAATAATGGAGAGATGATAAGTTGTGAAAAGATGCAACAACAATGTCAAAGTTTTGATTTATATGATTTAGCTAAAGGAAATATTACATTAAATATTAATATTACTATTCCAGATGAATATGGAATTTATATTCTTCATTGTGGAAAAAGTAGAAACATTGAATTAGATTATACATTACATTTAAGAAATGGATTATCAGAATTATCAACAAATGAATTAAAGAATTATATTGCAAGTTGCTCAATAGAAATTCTTTGGATTATAACAATAATAATAGTAATAATTATTTATTTAGTGTATCATAACAACACGTCATTTGTTCATTTTATAATAGTGGGAATTATATTAATTTTATGTATTAAAGAAGGATTTCATATTTATTATTATATTTATTATAACATTACAGGAACTCCTAAGTATCAATATATGACTATTAGTAAATTATTTGAATCATTCAGTGATATTTTATTAACTCTTCTTATTACTTTTATAACAAAAGGTTGGCTAATAATTTATAAATCTATTCCAATTAATCGTTGTAAAACATTACTTATTGGGATATTAATATTTTCTATTTGTTTATTACTTCATTGTTTTATTAGTAATTCTTTTATTTTATTAGCTTTAATTATAGCATTTTTCTTTATTATTCCAACTGAACTATCGACTCTTTCATTAAATATTAAAGTAATTCAATTTCATATTTTAACAAATAACAGCAATAATTATTCTCATTTAAAACGTAAAATATTAATTTCTCGTTTATTAATTGGTGGTTTAATAACATTTTGGATACTTTTATTCCTTGATAATATTGCTATTCTTTATGCAATTCATAAAACATTACCAATCTTTATCATTTCTCAATTATTACTACGGTTCTTCTTAGTTCTATGGACTTTATTTGTTATTTTTCCATCAAATTCATTTTTTGAACCAATAGCAGAAAGTATTAATTCTGTTATTTTAAATCAAATAGTAACAACTCCTCTTAAACCTCGTGTTTATGAAGTAACTGAAAATATTCAATCATTGTTTGATTCTCATAATATCGTTTTATTTTGTTATTCAAGAACAACAAATTTGTTGAGTATAAATCCATTATTATTAGACGGTATTTTATTAACTCCAGAAGTAAGACAAAACAACAAATTGTTTATCGATTAAGTTATGTATTGTTTATGTTTTTCCCTTTAAAAGTTTTTTGTTTTGTAAAAATCAAAACAAAAAATTTTAATTTGAAAAAGAAAACTTTAAAAGAAAAAAGATTTGTTTAAAGATGAGTGATACTACAATTAAAACTATCAAAATAGAAACTTTTAACAATTTTGGCACAGTTAATTTTGTTAGCGAAAAGAATGAAATTCAAAAAATGACATCTGCACCAAGTGCTGTTGTTTCAAATGTTCCTAAAGCAAATGACTCAGTAAAAGAAGAAATAAAAGAAGAAAAGAAAGAAGTTAATAAAGAAGAGGATGGAAGAAAAGAGCATTTAATTAATAGACTTTCATTACAACCAAAACATCTTGAAAAATTAAAAGAATGGACAGGAATGAATGACTTTAAAGTTATATATTTTAACGATAAAGATTTATTTACAGCTAAAGAATTCTTTAATAAAGTTAAAGGATTAGAGCGTATTATGCTTTTATGTGAAACAAACAATAATATGCTTTTTGGTGGTTATTTTAGTAAAATGCCAGATAAACAAAATGATTGGATTAGTGAAGACAGTAAACATTTTATATTTACACTTAGAAATCCACACCTTGTACCACCTACAATGATTCAACCAAGAGTTGATAATCATAATATTATTATGATTAAAGGCAATGAAGAAATAACAGAAGTTTGTGAAAACTATGCTTTTGTGATATGTAACAATACTACAAGTAAACAACATATTAGATTTGCTTCTATGTATCATGACACTACTTATAAAGGAGAACGTTTATTTGCTGGTAATCAAAAGACTTTCCAAATTAGAAATTTTGCTGCTATTCAATGGGAATAAAAAAAACAAAACATTTTAAAAAAATTAGAATTAAATTATTAATTCTTTGTTGCACTTTCATTTTCCATTCCCATTTCACTTCTTTTCTTTAATCCTTCTATTTTTGTTTTACAGAAGAAACACTCATTATGATGTTCCATATGTCGTTCAATACAACTTCTACATGCACTATGTTTACATGGAAGCATAATTGTATCAGCTGGATTACTACAACAAATAAAACATAATTGATCTTCATTTTCTTCTACTTCCATTTCAAATGAATTATTAGATACTCTTCCTTGGAAGGTTGGTGTAATAACTACTTTTTTTGTATGTTTTTTATTTAATTCTTGTAATGAATTTTTTAAGAATTGAAGAGTATGATCAATTCCTTCTAATGCTTGTTTTTCTTCTACTTTTAAATTAGTAATAATATCATCAGTAATTGTATTTGGTCTCCATCTATCCCAAATTGTTGTTGGATATTCTATTTCAAATGAAAATATTGATGTAGAAGATAAATCAATTCCTTCTAAGCCTTTATTAATTTCTAATGTTATTATACCATCTTGTAATAACCATTCAAGTCTTTTTTCTTCTGGGATAGTTTTTAAAATTTGTGTAAGAACATCCAACACTAATAATCTTAATGAACAAAATATTTTATAAATTTGTTTTCCTCTTCTTGTTGAAATAGAATTTCTTACAGAACATTGATACAACACAAATGATAAATATTGTAAAAACTTAGTAGCAAGAGTATGATCTATGTATATTTTACTAAAGAAATATGATAATCCATCCATTAAATCAGTCCCATCTAATAAACTACTAGATAATGATTCAAACATTTTTTCTTCTTGTCCACTGAGACGTTCTTTATCTAATAATAATAATATCTTATCTAAACTCTTTGATACATAATCAAAAACGATGTTATGAGTATTCATTATTGTTTTATCATCAATAAAATATTCTTGTAATAAATTGTTAAATACTTTATGATATCTTGGATAAGCCGCAATATTCCTTTTTAATACATAAAAAGGAATTGGCATTCCTATCCTAATAAAAGAAAGTGCTCTTCGGAATCTTTCTTCTTCATCACTTGTTAAAGACTCAAATGCAAAATTGAATAAAACTCTTTTATTTTCTGGTGAAACACATTCAATAAATTCTATTCTTTTAGTCATTGTATAAGTAACAGATATAAACATTGTTGTTTTTAATCCTGGTTTAACAATAAAACTATTTCCTAGAAATGATATTAATGTATTTATAAAATCACCAAATAATTGTTTGTTTTCATTTATAAGAATTTTTTGATAATTAAATAAAATGTTTTGACGTAAATTTTTACATAATGAAATGATAGAAGAAATATATGGTTCATGAACATATAATAATCCTTTAGTACTGACCAATGCATTAACAATTTGTTTAAATATTTCTAGTTGAATTTGGTATCTACTAGGAATTATAAATGATGATGCTTCCCATAAATAATTAAGCCAATCAACATTATTTTCTAATGTACTTATAATTCCAACATTTCTTCTACATATTAATTCCATTCTAAAGAAATATGGAAAGGTATTGTTATAAAAGAAAAGAATAGCACGATGCATATGTTTAGTAATTTCAAAACTTTCATTATTTTTTTCTAATGGGAATGTTTTTTGAATATAACTAATTGTACCTCCTAATCTATCAAAGTCAGGATATTCTTTTGGTGTATTAATGAGAAATTCATTATTAAATTGGAAATGATTGGTTTCATCCAATAACATAGAAAATAATGCATATGTTACTCTCATAGTTAATTCCATTCCATCTTCATTACCATTAATATCTTTATTTATATCGTGTCTCACAGAATAATTGTTAACAAAATCATCTAATAATTGATTTGTTTCAAGGGCCTTTAATAATTTTTTATCAAGTTCAAGTTGTTGTTGATATTTTAAATCTAATTCATTCATTAATCCTTCTGGTGGTTGAGAAAGATCAAGTTCATGAACCATTCTTTTATAATCTACTTTACTTATTGTTGTTGATTTAGATAGAATAATGTCAATAAATTTAAATAATTTATCAGGATTTCCACATGCCACTGTCATCATTTCACTTATAATATTAAGAAGTATTTTAGTAAGTGATGTGACTATTTCATCTTGAAATTGATAATGTGTAGATACAATATAATACCATTCCATTAAAGTTGTAACAATAATTTCTAAATCACTAGGATGAACCATATATTTTAATAATGAGCCTAATCTTCCTAATGAATTTAATCGAGAACATTCAGTTAATAATGGTAAGAAATGTTCAACACATAAAACTTTACTATTTACAATCAATGGAATATATCTTGCAAACAATGCATTCAATATTAAAATAGATCCATTAGACATATCATTAAGACATTCAATAATAGCATTTCCAAGTATTTCACATTCTTTATAACTAGATTGAATTGGCTGTTGACATACAGGATGATAATCTCCTATTTGTTGTTTGTATAACATTGGATATTCTCCATAATTAATAATACATTTTTCTCCTGCTGAAGCAGTAACTCCAAAATAATAGTTATTCATTGGTTCTGTTCCAAATGATTCAAACGCAATTCCCAGGTCTTTATCATTTAATAGTACTTTAATAGTTCGTTGATTAAAGTCAACACAAATACTTATAACATCTCCTTTCTTCCATTTCGGTCCAAATGGTGTTTGTTTTCCATTCCAAAGACATTTACGATATCCGTCATATGCATATGAATCATTAAAATCTCCTATTCCTTTTGTACGATCAAACACTGATGAATTCTCAAAAATACCTATTTGAAAAAGTCCATCAGTTTGGAGAATAACTTGAAAAACATATTTACCACTATGTGCTCCAACATTTGTTCTAACTGATGGAAATGCATTAGTAAAAATAAACTCATTTTCTAAAAAACCACTTTTAGTTTCTCCAGCGACTGTGTATGTTTTAAGTAATAGTTTTTGTCCTTCATCACTTTGTTGATTTGAAGTAAGAAGGGCATCAACATAATAAGGTAGCAAAATTGGCTCATAGCTATCAAAACTAATTTCAGCGTTAGGTGCCAATTTCTGGAAAATTTGATTTAATTTCGTTTTGACCGCTTTTTCCATTGAGTTGAAGTTTATTGATTTGTTAGTTCTTCGTTCTCAAAAATAAAATCTTTTGTTTTTTTTTCTTTTTTTCATCTTCTTAAAATAATTTATCTCATCATGTCAAAAGAACATCACCCTTTCATCATTTCTGCTTCTGTTAAACGCACTATTCGATTAAACTCTCCACCTAGAGTTAAAGAAGTTAATCAACAAGGTATTGAAAACGTCATTAAATTTAGAAGAATGACTACTCATTTTAAGGCTCCACTAAATGAAGAAGAATTAACTAAATTAAGCCAATTCATTTTACTCTTTCAGAGTAATGAAATCAATATCACTATTCTTCAAGAAAAAGAAATAAAACAATTATTAGAAAAAGAAAATTTTACTCCAAAGTATTCTGCCATTATTGTTTCCTCTCTTCTTTACTCTCCAACCAAATGTATTGATACACTAAACAGAATTGAACTATTTTGTACTTCTAATGAATGGTTTGGTTATTGGAACAAAGGGCTTGCTTCTCGATACAAGAGCCTTCACAAAACTCAGTCAACTTACTGCCTGTGTGTCGGACATTCCTTACTAAGATTTATTAGGTATTCACCACGTCCATCTCCATCAATCCAATACAATTATTAAAATTTTGTTATTAAATTATATTTTGTTATTATTTGAACTATTCCTCATTTGGTTACTTTATTTCTGACTATGCGTTTTTTATCTGTCATCAATCTACCAGATATAACTTGAAATTTTTCATCTTAAAAATAATCAAAATTATAGTAATGGCACAAACAATTATTAGTGTAGTCTATATTCCTCGTGGTGAAAATAAAATTTATGCCTATCCACCTCTTCCTCAAGACTCTCCTTATATGTTTGATATGTTACCAACTCTTGCATTTCCAGATACTGAAAATAATCCATGTTATTTTGTTGTTCCATCAAACTCTCCAGCACAAAGAATTTTTGGAATATCAATGGTTTATCCATCACATTGTATTGTATTATTAACTAACTCTCTTTACTTTAATCCATTATCACAATTATTAAAAGCATACTATCCATTATTTTCACATCCAAATCCACAATTATTAACATCAATTTATAATTCTATGAATAACTCTCCATTGAAACCAGAACCAATTATACCACCAGAAAATTTGTTCTCTTCTATTATCAAGTTAATGAAATTATTATTGCTCCCATTTAAAACAGTTGTTTATTCATCAAAACCATCAGAGTCATCATTGTCTATTCTTTTCTTAATGTGTTCTATTCCAGGTATATTTCTTAAACCAAATGGAGAGTCAAATGAAGCCCTTGGATTTTCCATTACAACTTGACACTGTAAATCATCCCATAGTCCCACAATTTCCAGGAAGTTTGATTGACAAAATTATTGGAACAGAAGGATATATAATTGGAACATCAAATCCAATATTTAGTGAATTAACAAAAGATTGGGACGTTGTGATTAATCTTGACACAAATAAAATTTTTTGTCAAAAAGAAATTCAGGGTGTGATTGTTGATACTAGAGAGGACAAATTATTAACTCTAAGAATGAAAGAGGCTTATCAACGTAGAAATATTATTAGTATAATGCAAATGATTGAATGGTATTATCAAGGATTATTAAATACAATAGCACCATTTGCCAAAAAGATTTCCACTGTTTCTTGGAATGAAATAGCCTCAACTCCTGCTAGTGAATATGGAATGGAATTTTTAAAGGAGTGGTTGGCTGCACCATCATTCCAAGAATGGAAAGAACGTGTTATTATAGATAATGCATTAAAGCTTAATATTCAACACCCAGGAAAAACAATAAGTACAGGCTTTGGTATTTATACTTCTGAGACTATTGCGGCATATATCACTGGAGATTGGATGATTAAAAGTGCTGTTAAAGTTGATAATTTGTACAAAGGATTAGAGTCATATTGGAAAAAAGAAGATAACACTACTCAAACAAATGAAGTTGAAGAACAGCCAATACTTATAAATGAAAAAACATATAAAGACTAAAAATATATTTCATTATTCATTTATTTCTGTTTTTTCTTTGTCAAGATTAGACCATATAAACTAAAGGATTAACATCACATTCTGATTGATAGAAAGTGATTGATGGGAATAACTCTGAGAGTCTAGGAATCCAATACTTTAAATAACCCCTTTCTGTATTTGTATGTTCAGATAAAACAACAGCAGTATTCCATTCTAGGTGTTCAAGAACTTCATGGTGACCCATTTCACCAGTTAAAACTGCATCAGCACAATTATTAGCAAACATCATAGATCCACTTCCACAACAAATTGCAACTGTTTTAATTTCTTTTTTAGTAGAAGGGATAGCATATCTTAAAGGAACATCTAAACCTTTTTTAACTCGAGAAATGAATTCGTCAGTAGTAATTGGAGTATCGTATGTAACATATCTGCCACTTCCAATTGAAAGATCACTTTGACTAGGTTCAATTGCAGTAGTATTCTTTGGTACTGATGTTAATAAAACAGGTTCATTTAAAATAAGAGAAGCAAGCCAATCATTAATTCCTCCATTGACTGAGTCTAAAGCAGAATGTGGTGAATAAACACTAATTCCATTCTTTAATAAACGAAGAGCAAGTTTTTGAGAACGAGTTTCAGGAATAAGTTTTTTAAAAGATTTAAATAAAGTTGGGTGATATGAAAGAATAGCTTTGCATTTTTTGTTTATTGCTTCGTTAATAACTGATTCAGTTATATCAATACAAACAAGTACTGAACTAAATTCTTCTTCTGAACTAATAAGTACTCCTGTATTATCCCAATTTTCTGCTAATTGTTTTGGATAATATTTTTCAAATAAACTAACAAATTCTTCAATTTTCATTTTTTATCATTTTTAAGTTTTCTGTTTTTATTTTATATCTTTTTAATTCTTTCTTAAAATTAACTAAATTATTTATCTTTTTTTTTTTTATTTCTTCTTATAAGTTCATTTAAATAGTTAAATAATTCAAATAATGTAATAAATTATACATCTTCTTAACAAGTAAACTAATTAATAACCTAAATATATTCTTCTTTTCCTTTAACCATGTTGTGATCAATAGAATTAAAATTCTATCATTAAGAAAATGGGCTATAAAATAGAAGAGGATAGAAAATAAAATAATTAATTAAAGTTATCACAAATACATACTTGTTTATTGTCCTACTATTCTTGTGTCAAATTTATGTATGATATATATTGTTGGGTATTAAACCAAATACAAAACATTTATTTGTAGAAGTCTTAATGTTATTGGGATATAAAATAAATTAATAACCTAAAATGTTTCTTCTTTTTACGTTGGTCATGCATTTCTTCTTGTTAATATTTCATTTTATTATAATTTGTTAATATGAAATTGGTAAATATTTAAAAACTTACCAAACGTAAAGTACTTTTTAAACACTTTCATTTTCTTTATGACCGTTAGTTATTATCATCAAGAAATGAGATACAATCACATCAAAAAAATAAAATGATTTTTTAAACCAAAAATAAGTAGAATATAATTCTTTTTGTTTTATTTTTTTTTATTTAAATAAGATATCTTATTATCAATTTATCCAAACAGTTAGTTTATTCTTTATGTAATAAGATACTCCCCATATAATCAGATGCACTTATTACACGTTGTTCTAACCAATACATAACTATAC